GCCCTATTCATGTACCCATCCAGATGCCTTTTAAATGTTGTAATTGTACCAGCCTCCACCACCTCCTCTGGCAGCTCATTCCATACACGCACCACACTCTGTGTGAAAAAGTTGCCCCTTAGGTCCCTTTTAAATCTTTCCCCTTTCACCTTAAACCTATACCCTCTAGTTTTGGACTCCCCTACCCTGGGGAAAAGACCTTGACTATTCACCCTATCCATGTCCCTCATGATTTTATAAGGTCACCCCTCAACCTCAGCCTCTCCCTATAGCTCAAACCCTCCAGCCTTGGAACATCCTTGTAAATCTTTTCCGAACCCTTTCTAAGGTTAGCAACAGCTTTCCTATAATACTGCACAGGATCAGTGAATCTTGATTAGCCTTCATGAGGATAATTACAAATAGCGAGTGAAATTAACATGCAACATTCCCAAAGTGCTGGACTGGATAGACACTGAGAAATGGTTTCCCCTGGTTGGACCATCTAGAATGTAATCTCAGGCCAAGAGTTGGTTTTTCTTTTCAGACCGACATGACTAATTCTTCACCTAGAATTGTGGAATTCTTTGCCACGAAGGCTGTGGATTTCCAGCTGTTAAGTATGTTCAAGACTGAAAGCAATAGGCTTCTGGACTGGATCATACTGCTCCCTCCCCATTAGGAGTGTTATTGGCCAAGATTGGGGCTGGTAAGATATGACGAGCTGCTAGTCTGCTCTGTTACCCTCCCAGCCTGGCCCACTGTCTGCGATACAGGAGCCCGTCTGGCATTTCAAACACAACAAAATCTAGCACACAGTCGAACTTGTTTCTGATGCAGGGCTGAATGGCCTGTACTTCTGTTAAGAAGCAACTTGACCTTGACATTATGCTGCCCGTACCCATAAAATAGTTGGCTCAGGCTGATGGGAAAGGGGTTAAGGAAGAGGAAGACTACTTTATGGACCCAATTTATAAACCCAGCAAATCTCCCCCCAACAACCCCCGTAAAATCCAACCCCACAGAGTATCAAGGGATGTGAAGATGGGGCAGGAAAGTGAAATTCAGGTTAAGAATCAACAATGTTCTTAGTATACAGCATGATAGATTGGTTATATTGCCTACTCCTGCTCTTATTTCTCACACCTGAGTGACTGTAACAGCTAACTCTGCAAACTCTGAATCCAAGCTGGGATCTATGGTCTATGTGGGTCAGTAACATTCCTAGAATTGTCTTTATTCATAAAGCATAATGAGATCATTGTGAGCAAAGAGAGTTTAGAGTACCTTAACAATAACCTTCCCCACCTGGAACCAAGGAAGCAGACTTAAGCCGTAACCTGTTCGTCACAGAGTCTGACAGTGGAGTCTTTCTTTGTTGTTGTTATTATTACTACACTTGAGAATAAGCTTTAGAGACACATTCCACAAATACACACTCCTCATATCGTCTGTAAAATGCTGAAATCTGCCACATAACTTTTCTCAGTGAGTTATGGGCTGTCCTTTTTAAGTTGGTCTAGTTCCTAACCACAGCCACTCAGCACCACCTTCTCAAGGACAATTAGGGCTGAGCAATAAATAGTTTCCAAGAATAATTGTAAAAGAAATATGCTAGCCTTGGTGTACCTCCCAACACCCAATTGGTAACTGGAGCAACTCGTTGTTAGATTTCCTTCGTCCAGCAGGAATCCCAGCAGATCAACTGGGTCTGGATTATAGGCTATTCATCTACCTGAGTGGACTTTCCAGACTCTGGCTCATTGGAAAGTATTGGAGTTGTTCCTTTTATAAAAACCAAAAGAACTGTGGATGCTGTAAATCAGGAACAAAAACAAAGTTGCTGGAAAAGCTCAGCAGGTCTGGCAGCATCTGTGAAGGAGAAAACAGAGTTAACGTTTTGGGTCCAGTGACCCTTCTGAGGTTATCTAGAAACTTTGTTTTTGTTCCTTTTATAGTTTAACTATTGCCTGGCCATCCACATCAGATGGCTTAAGGGCAGGAAATTAACATCATGTGTAATATAGAATGGCCTCAACCCTAGGGAAGCCCAGGAAAATAGTTTGACTCTTTTTTTTCAAACAAAAATGTCAAATTGTTAATCTATGGATCAGTTCCTAATGGGTGGGACCTGATTGAGGCAGTTAGTGTTAGTTACTCAGATTCTAATGAGGTAGATTCCATTCTTAAAAATAACATTTTGGGACACAACGCAGGAGTAATTTGAGACAGGACACGTGTTGACTGTGATGTGATTGGTTAGAGTATATAACCATGGTTCCTAAAGCTGTCCAACACTGGTGTATCCCTCATCTCCTGTTCTAGACTCACTGATAGGATGCTATAAATAGTCAACTGCTCCCTTGCCATTTTGAACATGTAGGAGAGGCATTGGCGGAGTGGTAATTTCACTAGGCTAGCATTCCATAACCCCAGGCCAATGTCCTGAGGACAGACATTTAAATCCCATTATAGCAGCCGGTGAAGTTTGAATTTAACCTGGAGCTGAATGTAGGATCTGATTGAGGTATCCAAAATTATGGGACTTAGACGGGGTAGCTCGTGAGAACCTTTTCCCCATTGCAGATCTGTCTAAGGTTAGAGGGCGTAAGTTTAAGGTGAGGGGTAAGTGGTTTAGAGGGGATCCCAGGAAAATGTTTTTCACCCAGAAAGTTGTAAAAACATGGAACATGCTGCTGGCATGTTGGTGGAAGCAGGTACTCTTGCAACATTTATGAAACAGCTGGATGTGTACGTAAAATGCCAGGCTCTGGATCAAATGCAGGTAAATGGGATTAGTAGTTTGGTGTCTGTTAGTTGGCATAGACAGGTTGGGCCGAAAGGCCTGTTTTTATGCTGTATGACTCTATGACTCTACCATTCTATGTAAGGAAGAAGATGGTTGAAGATGGACTTGATGGCTCTCTGTCTCTTTTTGCCAACAGTTCCCATGTTTTCCTTCAAATCCTTCTAGATTGGTTGAAGATCCTGGAGCACTCTCTCGATTGGTTCCGTGTCTTCACCTACATGATGTAGACTGTAGCTCTCCTAGGAAATAGTAAATATTGGTCTTCCCAGTGACACCCACATCCTAGGAATGAACTGGAGAACAATTCTACTGCTCTTTTTTTTCTGGCACAATGCTAGATGGCCTCTACTCATCTCCAAATCCTGTTGCCTTAGCTTCATGTTATTGTGCAATGGGATGTTCTTTGCCCTTGTGAGCTAAGGCTTTAATGGCAGGGAATGCCTCGATGTCAGATGTCCGTTAGCTCTCTATTGTTTGGACAGATTCTCCCAGTCCCAATGGAGAATTGAAACAGTGCACTGCCCAGGCACGTTTTCATGTAATCAGGGCTTTATGAAACCAAGGGAGCAGTATAGTACCAGAGAGCCACAGTTGACTGGAGATTGTTGGGTAGTTTGTATGATTTCCTGTAGGTCTGTCAATGGGGAAGCCCTGATATGAGAAGTAGCATTGGTTCGAATTTTACACAAGAAGGAATTGGACTGGTGCTCCCTAGATTCACCAGCCTTGGGACACAGTGGGTAGTGACTACTTAGTTCAAAAGGAATGGGAGCAGATAGTGGACATGGTATCCAGTCTATTAATCCGATGCAGTACCAAGGGAATGCTGCACTGTTGGAAGAGCCAACTTTCAAATAAGACATTAAAAGTAGACCTGGCCCACTTTCTGAGCTTGATGTAAAATATTCCTTGCCTCTATTCTGTAGAAGAAGAGACGTCCATGGTGTTCTGATATTATTTCATTCAGTTAACGCTGCCCTTTATGAGAGCTTGTGTGAAAATTGGCTGCTGCAAATCCTATTATACAACAGCATCTGCATTTCAAAATGTACTTCATTAGCGTAGTGATTTGGGAGGTACTATAGCAATACAAGAATGAAGAAAATCTTTCTTCATTTCAAACTCCAGTTTGATGATGGCAGTGTAGAAGAAGCTTTACCCTATACCTAGGGCCATACTGAACTAGCACTACAGAATTCCTCTAACACGTCAGATTGTTCCTCAGCAGTGAACAAGATATTTAGAATTTCTTTAGCTCCATACTCAGGATAACTTCTAGCTGGAAAAATACAGGTATGGAATCTGGGTGAGCAGGATCAGGAGTGATCCACTCGGGAATTGTAAGCTTGCAGTTGGGGGCCATTCAGCCAAAGAGGGGCAGGCAGCATTGAGATTATAACCCCTCCTGCATCATTAACACAACACTCCCACAGAATGGACAGCATATCGTTAGATTTACAGCAGAGTTTCCTCTACATAGTCCCCATCAAGTAGTACAGCATTAGTTACAGAGTAAAGCTCCTCTACTCTTTTGAACGAAAGGTAAACTTCCTTTTACTGTTTTAAATTGAAAGTAAACCAAGAGCAAAAATTCCTCAACACTGTCCCCATCAGACACTCCTAGCACAGGCACAGCATGGGGTTAGATACAGAGTAAAGCTTCCTCTACACTGTCCCCATCAAACACTCCCAGGTTATGGATAGCACAGGGTTAGATACAGAATAGACCAGCTTATAGTCTCTCTCTGGAATGTGACTCCTCATTATAAAAACTATAATTTCTTTCCCTCTATCCTTTGAGCGAAATCCAGTGGGATGCTCTTTGCATGGTCAGTGTGGACTCAATGGGCCAAATGGCCTGCTTCCATTCAGTAGTGATCTTATGATTCCTACCTCCTCAGAGACGAGGATGGAAACCTGAATTTTATAGACTGGAGCACCCCAGTGCATCCCAGTACAGACCAATGTGTCCCAGTACCACAAATCAGTGATTATTGTACTGAGCAATTTGGGCCAAAGCCTTAAGGCAGTATACACTCCCTCACTCCCCACTAGTTGCATGTTGTCATATTTTGATTCAAACTGAATATTACATAAAGAGGAGGGGAGATAACAGAAACCTCTCACTCAGATGCTGCCAACTCACCTGCTGGAACATGTTCATTTCAGATCAGTATCCAGACCACCTCAAAGAAAACAACATGTCACCTACCAGAGAGCTCCTTATGTGTTTCCTCCAGTCATCTTAGAAAAAGGTTATTATTCCCCTTTTCCTTTCTGTCAGGAGCTCTTCAAAAGTTAAAGCTGACATCTTGCGTTTCTTCATTTGCAGATTAATCCGAAGGTGTGACCACAGTTGGTGATATCATTCCAACTGCACGTTTTTGGTTAACCCTTTCCAACCCCTGTATTTCCTTGTTTTTCTGGGCCCTGAGTTGAGCTCAGGATCATTGTTTGTTAGTACATTCCCTCCTTTAGAGAATTGGCCCATGGTTTAATAGCTACCTGTGCATGCCAACTACAAAACCCACCATGGTAATGAAGTTTCGTGGTTATGGATAGACTCAGGATCCAGAGAATATGTATTCAGGCCCACCACGACCATTAAGAAATTTCGATCCAGTTTTTCAAATTTGGAAATAAGTAGCTGGTGTTGGTGAAACTGATAGATTATCGGAAAATCCCAAGTGGCTTGTCGTGTCCATCAGGAAAGGAAATTTTCCCTCTTCCTTGGCCAGGCCATGTGTGACTCTGGTCCTTCACGCTTGGAAATGACCAAGTTGTGTGTATTGTGGACTATCACTTTAAGAATGGTGTTGTTTTAAGAACTCAGCATACAGATGCATGAAGGGCCAGCATATTATCACATGACCAGAGGCCATGGTCACTCTGCATTATTGCATCCTATTTGTGTGTGTCTCGAGATCTCTCTGTACTTTATCTATTAGCTTTAATTATAAGATCATACCATACAGGAGCAGAAATCAGCCCATCGGGTTTTCGCTCGATCATGGCTGATATGTTTCTTAACCCCATTCTTCTACCTTCTGCCCTTAACTCTTGATCACCTTACCAATAAAGAACCTTTCTATCTCTGTCTTAAAGACACTCATTAACTTGGTCTCCACAGCCCTCTGCAGCAGTAAGTCCCACAGATTCACCACCCTCAGGCTGAAAAAGTTCCTCCTCATTCTCAGTTTTAAAGGGTCGCCCCTTCACTCTGAGGCTGTGCCCTCAGGCCCAAGTCTTTCCTACTCGTGGAAACACCTTCTCCACGTCCACTTTATCCGAGCTTCTCAGTATTCTCTAAGTTTCAGACAGAAATGACCCCTCCCAGATATCTTCAAATAAACAGAATCCACCGACCTCAGTCGTGTAACATAAAAAGAACACAAGGGATCATTACATCATTCAAGATGGAGTGATTATATATGTCAAATATCTTCATGGGGACCCTTAAACAGGTTCTCAGGAGCATGTTCAAAGACAGTTGCCAATAATACTATCAAATATATACACTGCCTGTGATCTGGAAGAATGGTTTTTTTGGCAGGCAGTCACTGAGCTGGGAAACATTTTCCTGGTGTATTGCTCTCTGCTTGTAACTCCCAATCACACCCAGCAGCTTTTCCCGGCACTGGGACAGATCTTACAAGCCCTCTCCTACTCTGACAAAACCCCAACCCCTCCCACACTCTGAAATACCCAATA